TAGATTGAACAGGAGTAGCAGATGGAGGAGGTGGTGGTGGCGCTGGACCTGTGGGCGGAGCCATTTGATTAGGAGGCGACGATATCGAAGATGCCACCATTGAAGAGGCGGCAAAGACAGATGAAGATAAGGCTGGAAATATAGGAAAAGTGCAGCCGGCCGTACAGGCGGGCTGCACAAACGTAAGTCCATTAGCTGTTTCTGTAGACTCGACTGGTGAAATGACACTTGAAAATGACTCGGCGAGCCGCGACGTAGAGCCGGCAGCTCCTGTCATCTGCGAAGTTTGTGGCTGTTGTGCAGCCTGAAGTGCAACGTACAGTTCGCTGGGTCGTTGAGCTCCCGGTTCCATGGTACCAGAGCCTGGTAAAGAGGTGAATAGCAGGGGCAGACTACCATTAGGACCGGGCGTGGCGGCTCCGTTGTTGAGGCTGGAAGCCAGTGTGATTTGAGGTCTGTTTCCTTGATGCGGCGTGGAGGGCGGCATACCAGCCAAGTAGGCGTTGTGGACTTGGTATGCTGCGGGATGACAGCCCTGCTCGAGAGTTATAGGAGCGTACTGGTTGGAGAGACCACAGGCGACATCGTCGTAGATTACTGTTTGCTGAATGAGCATAATAATGATGAATAAATGGAGAATTATGAAATGACTGCAAAAAACCTATCGGTCTGTGAAAGGTGGGTTTCAAGTTGTATCCCATTTGAAAGGGCGGGTGGAATGACTCGCCTGACTGAAACCTAAAGGAGCACTGTTTTGCAGTTAAGACCATTTATTTGTGGGAATAGGTCCCCAGCCTGCAGGCCCGCAACACCGATGAATACGTGCTGAGAGCGTAACAACCATGTTTTATGAAATTTTTACCAAGCACTGGAAAAAGAATTTTCATAATGCCGAGGTCATTGGATAGAGCGCCTAGAAATCTTTTGCATAAATCAGCAGTCACTACACGATTTCCGGAGAGGCCGATTTTAAGAATCCCTTCGATTCGCCTTTAAAAGACACCCAATTTACAACACTTTGTCAATTCATGTCTAAACATACTAGGCCAGTAAATAATTAAAACAGTTAGATTGGTGCAAACCATGGAATTGCGATTTCCAAGCGATAGTATTAATATAAAAATTACATCAATTTGTTCACTAAGAACCTAGTAGAATGCTTTATTTGACCACTTGCCAAAAAGTAGTTGATTTCGGAAACAAGGCCAGCTTTATCGCAAAGAGAAGTACTCAAACATTATTCTAATACCCATAAATATCTATGCAAATCTGTACAATGCTTAATGCTTTTCATCGCAAAAATATTTGGAAAATCAGGCATATTTCATGCTGGGAATGCACATGAAGGGCGTAAT